TCATTTATTAATGTTGGCAGACACTTCTGGCGTTGCTCGAAAAATACAGCTAACTTTAATGTTAACACTGTACACTTGCCTGCAAATTCAAATGTTGATATTTTTGCCAACATTTTCAACTCAAATACTGTCAATAACTATTCTGTCAATATGGGAAATAACAATTTATTTCAATGTTGCTGCGGAAGGTTTTCCAATGGTCGCAAGGGACTAAAAATGCACCAACGTTCGTGTAAAACTCATAAACAACTTCAATTAACTAACGATGAGGAAAACGCCGTCAAAACATCAACCTCGACGTCGCCACCACCTTCGTCATCGTCGGATGTTCAACAACAACCTACGTCAACAAGCCACCAGACGCTAAAAAATGTTAAAATCACTGAAACGCCTCTCTTTGGAATCAGACTTCCACAAAACCCAGCTCAATTTCACCAGTTTGATTTAATTTACAATCAGTTTCCAAACTATGATCTACAATTACCTTGCCTCCAACTTTGGCACCATCAACAATAAAATTGAACCGGACGGATATACAAAAAAGTCAATTAAGCTGTTGAAAAAAGAATAAAAGCAACATAAATTCTTGGGCCGCAATAATCATCATTTCGACAACCAAATAAGATCGAAGTTATCGTCATCAAAATCTTCCGACTCAACTAAACAACACAACACAACAAACCAGCTCAAACGTCAATTTTAATAGTTTTGCAAAAAAGTTTTTAATTCAACTACAAGTTTGAGCCCATCATACAGCGTCACCGTTTGCAAAAACTACTTTCACTCCATCCAAAGCGACATTCACAACAAACAACAGCTGCCAAACTGGATCACAAAACTCTCAACGCCGCCAACACTTTGCAACACAGATCCTCCCAGCTACAACGAAATCTCAAAAATTATTCGAAAATATAAGTCAAGATCATCCCCGTGTCCACTAGACCAGATCTCAAAACCGTTCAAAAAATGCTCAATTCTCAGAACTATTCTCCATCAGCTATTAATTTAATGTTGGCCATTTTTTTCAATTCCTTCATGCAAGAAAAAAAGATTTTCGGTAAAAATCCACAAAAAAAGGTGATAACATAACCCATCAAACTTCGCCCAATAACACTGCAACCAACACTATACAAAATATTTTCATCGTTCATCAACAATAGAATGATAGCTTTCTTGAAAAAATAAATTACTAAATAAAAACATTCAAAAATGGCTGAACACACCCAGATGTTAACGCACAGGATCGACAATGATAAAAAACAACAAACGTACCACGATCGTCACGCTCTTAGAACTTCGTAACGCATTTGGAGAAGTCAGTCACAACCTCATCTCTTCAAGCTAGATTATCATCACATTCCTTTTCAGATTAAAAATTTAATAAATAATATTTATGCCGATTATTCAATCTCTGTCTCTGGTTGCGAAAACTTAACTCCCCTTTTCCGGTTAAACGTGGGGTCCTTCAAGGCGATCCCGTTTTCCCCCTGCTGTTTAATCTGTGTTTCAATCCGTTGATGAAATTAATCGAAAAAAAGAATTTCAACAGTATGGCTCATATGGGGACCCATAACCAATCTAAAAACCAGAGCTTGACTTCAGTTTGCCGATGACACGGCCACCGTTGCCTGCAGCACTGACAGCACTCAAAAATTAATTAATCTGAATCAGGCCTGGTGCAAAGCAACCGGAATAAGTATGAGGATTGACAAATGCTGCGCCTTTGGCCTGAAAAAGAAAAAATTGCATATATGAACAGTTTCTTCCAAGGTTGACCATCGATGATAAAGCAATACCTGACATTGAATTTAAGAGTCATTTCGAATACCTGGTAAAAATATATGATTTTGAAAGACGCTATTCAAGGGCGAAAAGTTACTTGTCAAAAACTCTAAAAACTACAACACATGTTGTCGGTTATAAATTGGTTGGACACAATTTCACAACGGAAATTACAAATACTAAGATAATACATTCCATCTCTTTGGGCATTCGAACTTTGCATTTACTAAATTTCTTTGACTTGGATAGGCAACAGCCTAGATCCATTGATTGCTGAATTGGTTAGAAACTGGTTGGCCCTGCCAATTAGCAGCTACGTGTCGGATTATTTATTACTCTCTTTTAAATTAAGAGGATTTAAATATCAGATCATTGATAAGTTACACAGAAGCATTAAAAGTCAAACTTCGAAGTTACCTCAAAACGCATGCCAATGTAGAAATAAGATGTCTACATAAAGAATCTTTCAACAGTTACATCAAAATAGATAACATCCTTCCTGAATCAGCTGAAGTAAAATCAAGCACTATTGGTGGGTCAAAAAAAGTCCGATTATATTCATCTATCATCACTTCAATGTCAAGGAATGTTAGTTAAAGCGATTAAAGATGATATTCCAGAAATCCATATAAGTCACTGGTCATAGTTCACAAAAGGCTTACTAGAGGTTTTTATTCAAATTTGTCAGGAATTTGCTCTCATTTAACAACTTCCAACAAACGCCAACCTCTATCACTGGAGCAAGATGTCAAATGCTCTGTGTCCACTATGTCAGGCTTGTCAAACTAATAAGCATTTGCTGTCAAACTGCAGTTTGATTTCGTTCCTGAAAAGATATACAACACGTCACAACAATATACTATCGATAATTTAAAAAAAAATTCAATCATTTGCAGGTGCGGATGTATTAATCTACGCAGATTTCAACTGCAACAAATACCTCCCAGTATCATCTCTCTTCAAATCACGTCGCCCAGATATTGCCATTTGACAAGGTGGTACCATCAAAATACTAGAATTAACTGTTTGCCACAAATCTAACTTTTCTAAATCTAAAGAATATAAAGCATCAAAACACTTTCAAAACACCAGCTCAGCTCATTTGAAGATGTTACACTAGCGGAAATCAAAAACATCATCAAATCACCTGACATCAAATGCAATAAGACTTCTCCATTGAATCCATTCCCTTACCAGGTTTTCATTCAATGTGTCGACATTCTATCTATTGCTATCTCTCATCTCACGAATCTTTCCTTCAGTCAACAGTTTCCCGACAGTTTTAAAACGGCGCAAGTCCTACCACATTTGAAAAAACATAATCTTGATGACTCTGATCTCTCAAATTACCGACCTATATAAAACCTTACATCTATATCCAAAATCATTGAACGTGCGGCCTTAAAAAGAATTCAACCGTGCATCACTTCACATCATAATTATTCACCTTTGCAATCAGCATATTGGACCAATCATTCTACTGAAACGGCTTTACTTCATATCATTGATAATATATTCAATTCATGCAACAATAAAGAAACCACATTTTTTGCTTGACTGGACTTTTCAGCTGCCTTCGACATCATCAGTCATGATATATTATTTTGTCGCCTGGAAGTGAAATTTGGTGTCAAGTGTTCTGTCTTTTCCTGGCTACCTTCATACTTAACTGGTCCCAGTCAATTTGTCAAAATATCCACGCACTCATCTCCAATAGTCCATCTGTTTCATGGTGTCCCTCAGGGGTCTGTACTTGGACCACTCCTATTTTCAGCTTAAATTTCACCTATCGGCAAGATCATTGAAAATGATGGCATACATTACCATAAATATGTAGACGATACTCAACTCTATATATCATCAAACATTTAAGATCTTCCTTCAAATATCAACATCCTTACAACATAACTTAACATCGGTCCAACTAGGAGACACCTTAGTCCCGATATCTGTCACACACTAGGATTAGTCCTAGATAAAAAATTAAGTTTATCAAATTACATTACGTCTATAGCAAAATCCTGTAATAATCATTTAAGAGAAATACGACATATTAGACAGTTTCTTTCTACCGCTTTGGCTCGTGATTTGGCACGGTGTTTCATACTGTCCAAATTGGACTACTGCAATTTTGTGTTATATGGAATATCTAAAAGTCAAGAATTATGTCTCCAGAGAATAATGAATAGAGCCGCTAGAGTAGTACTCAATTCAGATACACCGTTACATCGTCTGTCATCAACGACCTCGTCGAATCTAATGAACCTCCATTGGCTTCCATTTCACTTTCGAGTTTTATTTAAAATAGCTGTCATCATCTTCAAACTTTCAATCTCGCATTCACCGTCGTATTTCGGTGATCTTATAAATAGTAATACAAACAATCGTCAACTTCGCTCTGCCATCGCTCTACGCTTTCATCAGCATAAAACAATAAACAATATTGCTGGTAGTGCATTCCGACATGCTGCTCCTCACGTTTGGAATTCGCTTCCGCCAAAGATTAGAAACCGCAGCTCTACACAGTCGTTCAAGTCGTCATTAAAAACTTTTTACTTCAATAGAGCGTTTTCAAACGTCTGATAGAGGATTTTTTTTTTGTTTCGAGAGCGCCTCAGTCGCTTGCCAGGGCGCTTTATAAGTCAACATTATCATTATCTTAATAACAATTTGATAGACAAATTAAAAAGTTCAAATATTATAATAAATTCATTTGAACTTTCCCTGCTAGGCCTTTTTAATATTTTAAACTATCATTAATTTTATTTGGTCTGACCCTTTCTATAGAAGTTTAATTAATTTCGTAATATCGACATCTTATGCAATTTACTGTGAAAGGAACACGATTTGAACATAATTGAACACGATTTGAAGCTGATTATATTTATCTTTGTGCCAATTTAAAATGTATGGCGAGCATTGTATAATATCTATATAATTTACATTATATGTTTTATTATTTTAATTTTATAATTACAATGTATGTTTTAAAATGAAAATAAAAGGTAGTTCTCATTGTTGTTGTTTACGTTGCTATTGTTTCGGCTGTAGTTATCACTTGGGTTGATGGCGGTGTTAGAATCGTTGTTCGTGTTGCTTTTGATGTTGTTGTCGTTGCGGATAATGGTATTGATGGTTTTGATTTCTTGCTTGATGACGTTATCGATTTCTCTATGGTGATTGGTATTTTTATTTTTTAGGAGGAATTTGAAATGTTCCTAGATTGGTTTTGTGTCGTCGATCCAGTAAATGTTTTTGCAGTTGATGGTGTCATGTTTTGATATTTCATTGTTGGGGAGATTCATGATTGTGTCTTTGATTGATTCGCATGTGTTGTCGAGAGTGTTGTTGATTTTCTGATTGAAAGTGTCGTTTTTGTTTGGTAGGTTGATGTTTTCCTTTAAATTACTGATTGAAACCATCAAAATTTTGGCTTTGCCTTTATTCCATTTGTTTAATAAAAGAAAAAACATAAAACGAATAAATTTTAAAAGTTTATTTTATAATTGATGAAAAGGGGTGTGTGAGTGTTTAAAATGCTTGTGTTGTGATAGATCATTGGGTCAAGTGGGTATGGTTATGTGTGCATAAACATGTTTTTTTATGTGTGAGTGTGTGTGTAATGAAATTATCTGGACTAAAATGTTTATAAGCTGCGTGGCTATGTAATAGCGTAAATATACCATTGACCATATATATATATATATATATATATATATATATATACAAAAATATATATAATTAGGCAGTGGGATGGTGTATTGGTAGTGTGTATGGCACTGCTATTGCGATGACCGCATTCCCTTGCAAAGAAAACCCGTACAACGTGTGTTTCAAAGGTTAGTAATATAGAAGAAATAAGTTTGTTGCAATTGTTGCAATGGTCATTATTTTCTTGAGCTGTTGTATGGTGCCAGTTAATGTGAAGAAAATGTCTTCCACATATTATATCTACTTCTGCGTTGATGTGTTTGTTGAGAGTGTAGGTGATGTAGATAGAGATTGACCAATATTTTGCCCATCGCACATTCGTTCGTCTGTAGGTATTGTTGATTGTTGAAGGTGAAATCATCATTTTCAAGTGAAAATTGAAGGAATTTGATTGTCATGCAGTTGTATGGGTTGTGTGGCATGTATCTCTTGAGGAACTTTTTTACGATAGTGATGGAGCATTTGTTGAACATGTTTATTATGTAGAGTGAGTTTTATATTTGCTGTGACGAGTATCTGGTGTTGATTAGTTATGCATTTGGTGATTTGTTGATAAATGGGAACAGGTCCTTAGTGATGAGGGGGTAGATGTTGAGCGATGAATTTCAACTGTGTTTCGACAAAGATGGATAGGTTTTGATTTATGGAGTAGTTGTTGGAGATGATTGGTCCACACAGAAAAGTAACCTCGTTTAACCATTAGTTTATTCTTAGTGAACCTTTGGTATTTTGTAGAAGTATCTGTTTTTAAAGTTCGTTGATGGGGAAAACCATTTATATAATTTGTTGGTGATTAGTTAATTGATTTTATTATGCTAAGGTATTGCATGATTTCATAACAGTTGTTGAAAGGTGTCAATTTTTTTGTAAAATTTCGAATCTAGTGTTGAATCTCCACCTTGTTGATGCAATCTAGTGTTGAATCTCCACCTTGTTGTTGTCTCTGTCGAGAATTTCAAACACCAATCCCTGTCCGCCCTAAGGATGATTAAATTTTTCAGATTTTATTGTTGTTTATTGATGTTATGTTTTTTCATGTTGTTTATTAATGTATCTGTGAAATTTTTTTGATGAATTTTTTAGCAATCTCCTCAATTTTGGTGATGATACATTTGTGGAATAACGTGTTGTTGCATGCTGTCCACGTTGATTTGATGTTTTTTAGTGCGTTTAAAAATACGTTGTAGTTGTCGTTGAGTTGGTGGATATTCATGAAGTCTCTGATTTTTGAATCACAAATAATCTTGCTGATACTGTCGTCAATTTTGTTTCTCTTAATATTATTATTACTGTGAATAATGCACAGTCCATGATTAAGGATGTTGATCTGTTCATTAATGAGTGTTATCTTAGAGAGATTGATGATGATGTTGGTGAGTGTGTTGTTGTTGTTTGTTTGGTTTTGTTGCCGTGATTCATTTAGTTGTTGCTATTGATGTTTTCATTGTAACAGTTGTTGATTTGTCCGTGGTCATGGGGGCTGTTGTTGTGTAATATGCTGTGTCATCACTGGACTGTGGTTGAGTTTGTTGTGATTGGTCTTGTGTTGAATATGACTGTTGATGTTAATGCAGAGTTAGCGTTGGTGCATAAACGGTTTTTTATTCATTCTGTGAAGTTTGTTTTTTGCCTTGTGTTAAAGGATGTTAGATTTTTTTGCGTTTATCTTCGCTGGATCTACCCGTGGATTGGTGAATTTAAGTACCTTCAATAGGATATTTATGGTGTCAAGTGTTAGGATTAAAGATGAAATTTTGATATAAGACATAGTTGTCAATGTATGCAAAACATAAGTTAATTTATCTCTTTCCACTTCCAAATTTCCTACTTCTTATAAAAATTCTATTGTCATTCCTATTCTTAAAAACTCATCGTTATATCCCTCCTCATTACCTAATTATAGGCCTGTTACTAATATTACTTTCATCTCTAAAATAATAGAAATAGTAGTTTATAATCAATTATCATTTTGTACTTTGCTTTCCTTGCTCACAGCACTGAAACTTCTTTACTCAAAATACAGAATGATATCATTCTCTCTAGTGTAAGTAGTAATCTTACTCTTCTTCTGGCTCTTTTCTTTGCTTTTGATAATGTTGAGCTGGTCATACTTTTCTCTTGAGACTGCTAAATCAATCTTTTAATATTACTGATTCTTGTCTATCTTGGTTTTCTTCTAATTTCTGTAATCACTTTTCATCAGTTGTTCTTAATGATTCTACTTCTAACTCCTCTACTCTTACTTCTGGTGTATTTCAGGGTTCTATCCTTGGCCCTCTTTTATTTATATACTCTAGTCTTCTATAATTTTTCTTTCACTAGTTAACTATGCTAATGATTCTTGTTATATTTATACTTCTTTTCCTCCACTTAATCATTTTAATCTCAATAGTGTTCTTTATAAATTATCTCTATATCTTTCTTCAATTATCGCTTTGTCTGACTATGTGTCCTTAAAACTTAGTTAATCCTCCCACCTAACTAAATTTGAATTTAATTAATAAATCAGAACGCTTTTACTATTCCTTCGATTATCTAACCTGATTCTAAAACTTTTGATGTTGTTAAGGAATGTTCGATTTATTTGTTGTCGAATTGTAAATTGGACAATTTAAGGTGATAAAACAATTTTATCAAAATAAATTAAACAAAATCAACAGTAACTATCTAATGTGAATGGAAAAACGGAAAGGGAAAAGTAAAGCAAAGATGCAGTAGTAATAAAAATAAATTAAGTTCAAACATAGATATTAAAATTAATAATAAACCTAACTAATAATTAAAAATGTGAAAAGTTTAAAGTGTTTATAATAATAACAATTATATATTTAGTCCCATACAATGTTTCTAATAAGTTTCGTAGTCTAGGCTTTGTATGCTTTAAATATCCACATTACTTCTATTCTTGTTAAGCATATTCCTTTTAAATCTTAATACTTATAGGCTCTATTCTCGTAAGGCTCCTTGGTTCGACTATGCTTGTGTTTTACCTAAGAAAAGTGTTAGAAGACTGGAGTATGTCTATAGGTTAAATCCATTTAACTCTATTCTATTTATGAATCTGAATTAATTAATTATAAATAACTCTTTGCTACCTGTGTTTCAATCTGGTTCCAGACCTGCTCACAGAAATGAAACTTCTTTACTCAAAATACATAACGATATCCTTCTCTCTAGTGACAATAGTAATCTTACTCTTTTTCTTGCTCTTGACTTTTTTTCTGCTTTTGATACTGTTGACCATACAATTCTCTTGAGGCTGCTAGATTTTTTTTTAATATTACTGATTCTTGTCTATCTTCGTTTTCTTCTTATCTCTGTAGTCGTTTTCTTCTGTTGTTCTTAATAATTCTACTTCTAACTCCTCTACCCTTACTTTCGGGGTACCTCAGGGTTCTATCCTTGACCAACTTCTATTTATACTTTATACTTCTAAACTACCTTGTATTGTTAATAATTTTTTTCACTAGTCAACTATATGCTGATGATTCTTATATTTATACTTCTTTTTCTCCATCTAATCTTAATAGTGTTTTTCATAATCAATTTCTATGACTTTCTACAATTATCGCTTGGTCTGACCCATATAAATAGAATACCCTATGTGTCTTAAACTTGATCTTTCTAAATTTGAATTAATTTGTTTTAATAAATTTAAACACTCTATTTCTATTCCTCCTATTATCTTACTTGATTCTTAAACTCTTGATGTTTCTCACAAGTTTCGTAGTCTAGGCTTTATTTGTGATTCTAGAATGTCTCTTTCTTTTCAGATTAATAGTGTTGCTAAAAGTTCTTACTTTTATCTACGCAGAATAAAAAACTTTTGTCTTTTCTTGACGATCCTGCTCTTCTCCTTTTTGTTACTTCGTTAGTCTTATCTAGGATTGATTATTTTAACTCGCTCTACTATGGTCTTCCTGATTCTACACTCTATCTTTTAATATAGTTTAGGACGAGGCCTTTGTTGATGCATATTTCATTAAATTTGTATGCCCACTCTGCGTTCAAAAGTTTTTTGATAAGAACTTCAACACCACGTAGTTTTTTGAATTCGCATTTATTCAACACATTCATGAAATTTGTCAGAGCTCTCTTAGAGCTCTCAAAAATGGTTTTTTAACGCAAAAGCCTATTACTGGACATATGGAATTAATTATATTCTGTATATGGCTGATTTGCTTTTCCATATTTACCGCTTTTCGTTTAAATTTCACTTTTTGTTTTTATAAATACTATATGTAATTACAATCTTGGTTGTATTTATGTTTTATTATTTCATGCTCACCTTGTTGTGGTATCGTATTAATATAATTTATAATAGTGAGTTAACGATAATATTCGATAATTTAATTTTTTAAAGTTCTGATGGAAAAATTTGTCAAAGATTTGTTTGATCAGTCAGATTACAAGTAAGTAAAATAAAAGTAAATGTAAAGTTACTTGTTTTTAAGTAAATTAAAATTTTTTTGTTAGATGTTAGAGTTTTATTTTTTTAAATTAAAGAATTAAAATTTAAATTAAAACATGGTCCAATGATTTGAAAAAACCTATTGCCTAGCTAGGGTGTGCAAATTCTATGGTTTGATTTCAAGGACCAATCATTCTAGAAATCAGGACCAATCGTCTTAAAAATCAGGACCAATCATCCGCGGGACCAAACGTCTTAAGTTCGGTGCTATGATGTCAGCTATGCTATTATATAAAATTTATATTATAAATAAAATAAAAGTAAAATAAAGTATGAAACCATAAAAATTTAAATGAGGCCTACACAGAAAATTCTTACATAAGAACTGCATGATGGCCTAGAGTAATTAAGGTTGCTTGACGCTCTTTCACAGAGTGTACTGTGACAGGATTTAGAAAATGACAAAAAGATTCCCGCCTTTGTGTGTGATGTGTCTAGTTTGGCATGTATTTATTTTGAATTTTGATGCTTGTGTGTTGTTGATTTTTTTGAACCTAGAAAAAAGAGTGTCTTTAATAGACCTTTAAGTTTTAACCTTTTTTAAAATATAGCTATAATATTAAGCATAAACTAATAAAATTAAAAATCATTCATGAACCTTCCTTGACTAACACTAAGAAAACGTTCATTGCATGTTTATTTTACATAGGGTTGGATTTTAGCAATGTGACGGACTTAAACACACAAAAAAATTATGTTCTTGAAAATCAAAAATAGGTTAAAAATGATTTTTGATATAAATAAGTTGATTACAAATTTGATTATTAAATGGTTTTGTTTATATGGTGTGTGAAGTTAGCTGAAAATTTTACTTTCACAGTCAATATGGTGTGTGAAGTTAGCTAAAAATTTTTACTTTCACAGTCAATATGGTGTGTGAAGTTAGCTGAAAATTTTACTTCCACAGTCAACAATTTCAATGTGAGCAATAAATAATAAGACTCAAATAACTTGCAAAATAATAATCTAGGGACGAGAGAAAAGGACCAGAGAGGACTTATCTTCAGAAGTCTTGTCGCATCATCAACCTGAAGGTCCAATGTTTTTCGTTATTGAACCGGCAACTCAGGTTCCCGACCACGGCTTCAGAAGAATATCCATATTCAAAATTCAAAAATTTTTTCAAAATGAAGTTGGAGAATTAGAATTCATCAACATTCAGTCAAACAGAATTCTAATTAAAATAAAACAAGAAGAGCAGAGAAAAAAAGTTTTAAAAATAGGTAACTTGTTAAATGAAAAAGTTAAATCTTTTCCTCATAAGACACTTAATACCAGTAAAGGTGTCATTAAAACAACAATATTTAGATACTGTTCTGAACAAGAAATTAAGAATGAATTACTTGACTAAGGTGTCATAGATGTTCAAAATATAAAAATAAAAAATAACCAGAAAATCATCAACAACACGTTTATAGTTACATTCCAGAGTCCTCAAATTCCAAAGGAGTTAAAGGTGTGTTTTCAAAGACACCATCATAAAATCTGTTTAAGCAAGGAGATGATATGTGCAAAATGTGGACAAGCAGGACACAGGCATACTTGGGGTCACCATGCCAAAACTCACCAAAATGTGTTCACTGCAAACAAAAACATGAAACATTCCCTAAGGACTGCGCTAAATTTTTGCTTAAAAAAAGTATCATTAAAAAGAAAATAGAATGCAACATTCCATACAATCAGGCTAAGGCACAAATCTCACAAAATCAAAACCTCTATACTCTCAAATTGTGGAAAAAACAGTTTAAAAGTAGACCAGGGCATCCAGTGTAATTTATTAAATATTCTATTAGTTAAAAATCAAGATGTCAAGAAATCAGTCGGTAACCAATCCAAACCTTTAAATACAAAAAAAGAAAATAAAACCAAATACTTGCAAAACTCCGAAACCTAAAGAAATAACAAAAAAAATAACAAAGGAAAAAACAGACATCTATCATTTTCCAAGTTATCAAGACACGAATGATGACTCAGAGTGTCACAGTGAGATGAACGATGATGATGAAGATGAAGAAATTCTCAATAATATAAAATTAGCAAACCCCAAAAAACACTAACAAATGTAAAAATGACTACTAATAAAAAAAAATATTAACTAACAACAAAACCACAAATCAACTTTGCAGTAATAATGATTATGAAGTTTTTCCCTCTAAGCATATCACAGATTAAAATGCTGATGGCATTCAAATTTTTCAGTGGAACCATAAAGGGGTGAAAAAATGCCTTACCGGAACTACTATTGTTAATTCAGAAGTAACACCTTCTTATAATTTATTTGCAAGAGACAAAAACTATTGAAAATAAAAGGATAAATTAAAAAAATTACACAGTCTATCATAAGCAAGTACCACATCCAAAAACTATCCATCCGGCTGGACATCCATTTTTGGTTCATCATAATTGAACCAATCTCATTTCCAAATTATAAAAAAACAATAATTCATTAGCTACTAGATAACATCCAATAAAACAATAATAAGTAATGGATAATAAAACCCAAATAAGTTAAATAAAATCTAAAGATATAACCCAAATACTGCAGCAGATCTCAAAACATTTTTTTTGTGTGGGGAGATTTCAATGGACACAATCAATTATGGGGATGTCCAAGTTCTAAGCACAAGTTAAAGAATTATAAAAAAAAGTATAATTGAAAATGATCTTCTCTGATTGACCTAGCTATCTGATCACCATTCCTGTATTTAGATATAAAATGGGAGACAAAAGAGGATCTCCATGGCAGTGATCACTTTCAATAATAATAACAATTAGAAATAAAGATCCTATAGTTAATGAAAAGCAAAGGTTAAATTATAACAAAACTGACTGGCACGAATTCAAATAAAGGACAGAAGAATTGATGAATGGTTTTGAAATAATTGATGCGGAATCAATGGACAGGTGGATGGCAATAATAACATAACAGCAACTATAAAACAAACTACCCCAGTAATGCTAAATAAAAAGGGAAAGACAATTAATCCTTGGTTTAACAAAATATGCAAATACGCAATAAAACAAAAACAGAAGGCATTTAAAGCATTTAAAAGCAACCCCATTCTATTAAATCTTATAAATTACAAAAAGTTAAAAGCCGAGGCTCGCAGAACAGTAAGAGAAGAAAAGAAACGTTGTTGGAATTCTTTTGTTGAAGGTTTCAATCGTTATACTCTAATTAACAAAGTATGGGGAATGGTCAGAAAAATAAAAAATGAAAATAATGATAACAGTATTAGTCATATTATCTACAATAACAAATTTTTCAGTTCTGGTAAGGAAATCTCAAATATACTAGCCAGCAACTTCCATCAAAATTCCGAAATTCAAAACAAAAATTTTGCAAATATTAAATCAAGGGAAGAAGACAAAGCTTTGGATTTTGGTTCAGAGGAACAAGAATTGTATAATACACAAATCACCATGAGAGAAATGATGTTTGAAATAAAAAACAGCAATGAATCAACTCCTGGCACTGATCAAATTACCTATAAGATGTTAAAAAGCCTTCCTCAAAAAGCATTATCAATACTTTTTAGAGTTTACAATTACATTTGGATTAACACAAAAGTCCCAGATATCTGGCGTCAGGCAATAGTCGTGTCCATAAACAAACCAAAAAAAGTCAAAACTCATCCAGATAACTACAGACCAATTTCATTAACTTGTTGTACCTGCAAGATCATGGAGAAAATAATTAGTAATAGACTAAATTGGTTTCTCGAAAAACATCAAATTTTGTCTAAATATCAACGTGGAGGTATCAAGGGAAGATCATTTGATATCACTGGAAACTCACGTAAGCAAGACACAGGGTGAACAAGTAATAACTCTGTTCTTGTACATTGAAAAGGTCTATGACACAGCTTGGAAATATGGTATTCTAAAAAAAAATACACGAATCCGGATTAAGAGGACGTCTTCCCAAATTCATTCAAAGTTTTTTATCAAACCGGTCATTTAAAGTCAAGGTTAATGATGTCCTTTCAGAAACAATGCATCCAGAGTTGGGCATCCCTTAGGGCAGCATTTTGTCACCAAAATTATTCTGTCTTAGCTTAGATAACATCACCAAAATAATTCCTAAAAACACGATGATCTGCCTTTACATTGATGATGTCACAATCACTTTTAAAAATAAAGACATGATAAAAATGCTGAATGAAATAAATAGAACGCTAAAATCCATTGAAAATTGGGCATTGGAAAATGGAATGAAATTTTCTGAATCAAAGTCTCGAGCTATGCTTTTCTCAAGAAAATAAAAGAGGATTTTTCCGAAGTTAAATTTTCAAGAAAATAATCTTGAGTTCTCACAAGAATACAAATATTTAGGAATAATATTTGGCTCAAAATTAAATTTCATTCCCCATATTTTGAAAACAAAAAAAAATGCCTAAAAGCACTCAATTTAATCAAAGTGTTATCCCAAAATAAATGGAGAGCAGACCAAAAGCATCTGATAACAATTTTCCAAGTAACTATACGAGCAGTATTGGATTATGGCTCTCTAGTATATGACTCTACACGAAAATCCTACATGAAGATTCTACACTCAATAGTCAACGAATCGTTAAGAAGGTGTCTAGGAGCATACCGAACATCACCATCTATAAGTCTCCATGTTTTGGCAAGAGAAATGCCACTAAATTAAAGACATCAAAAATTAGCCTTAGATTACTTTCTAAAAATTAAATCTCAGATGAAAAACCCGGCATATAAATACATAACAGCAAAAACAAAGGCATCAAAATCAATTCCAACATTTCCAATAAGACTAAATGAATTCATCAAAGACATTAAAAATATAAAAACCACGGAAGAATTAAAGTTTGAATTTCCTCCTTGGTTACTAAAGCACCAAGAAATAAATACGACAATAACAGGAATGGGCCAAGATGTAAAACTAGCAAAAACTTTAGTTGAAGAAAAAATTAATAACAATTTAAACTTTATTCAAATATATACAGATGGATCGAAAAGGAAAAATTCAACGTCTGCAGCAATGGTGGCCTACCGGCAAAGGAAACGTGTTCATGGATTAATGATGCATTTACCAGGACCTGCTTCAATATACACCTACGCAGAGATATACGCAGAGATCCTTGCTATTGACATGGCTTTAAACTTTATAATTATTGACATGGCTTTAAACTTTATAATTAATTCAGAGAAAAATAAATTCATAATATTTTTGGTCTCCTTGTCTACTCTATCTGCCCTGAAGCAATACAAACCTCTAAATCCATTATTAATTTAAATGCAAAATAAGATTCATAATATTCTGGATAGCAACAAAAAATTAATTATAATGTGGATCCCCAGCCACATTGGAATTGAAGGAAATGAAAAGGTAGATCAGATGGCTTCTCAAGCTCATTCGATGCCATTATTTAGAGTTCCAATTCCGTTCAGCGTAAACAGAGAAATCATCAGCATAAGATATGGCCTTGATATCATGAGACTTAGAAGTTAAAGAGCGCAGGTGACAACACTGAATCTTGAGGCACGTCGGTGTGGATGTTTCTTTGCTTGGATGATTGATTTCGGAATTCCGTTACAGCGGATCTACCATGTAGATTGTTTGACAGCCAGCGTGAAATGGAGCCTGGTAGCGAAGATTTTAACGGGTCAGAGATGAGTATCCTATGATTGACCATGTCAAAAGCCTTGGACAGATTGATTGCCGCCAGTATAGTGTGGTGTGCCGGTTTTTTGTGATTAAAGCTCTCGACAACATCCATTGAAATGAGAGTAAGCGCAGAGATTGTTGAGTATCAAGGACGGAAGTCGTGTTGGTGACTGGTCGGGGTCATATGTTCAGAGATAGTATGGAGGAGACATCTTATAAAAATCTTCTCAACGTGGCAGAGAAGTGAGATGGGTCTGTAAGAGTTGCCAGATTTGAGAAATGGAATTATCCTGGCCTTTTTATAAATGTCTGGTATTCTACATAACCGGAAAGACAAATTGAAAATCCTAGTCGGGTCAAGGTGTTTTAGATGTAACGTGGTAAGACTGTCTGGGCCTACTGCTATGGAAGCTTTGGCGTGTTTGATGCTATTTGCGGAAGATACTTGATCCAGAGAAAATGTAGGGTGGTCACGTAGGCTTTGGTGTTTAGTAGCCAATTGTGTAATGGACCTGTTTAGCTTATTGGAGGAATGCTGGCAAAAGTAGGTGAAGGTTTTATTGAATTGATTGGCCATATCTGAGCCGTTAGTGATGGGCTTGCCGTTGAATTTTATAGCGTTCTTAGGATGTAGTTTAGGCTTGTGGTTTAGAATTCTTGTGATGTTCCACACCACAGTCGGTCAGTGTTGGTATGTCTGTTGAAAGTGCTTCCATTTGGAGGTTGTAAGGTTGTTTATCTTGGTATGTATAGCTTGTGACAATATTGTCAGATGTTGGGTTGGAGAGCCTAGGAGCATCACGTTTACTGATAATGTCGGCGATTACCTTCGAAAGCCCTAGTTATGAGTTGATGCGTCTTCCAGAAGGAATGTTGTGGTCACCGGCTGTACTCAGGATCTTACGAAATGTGCTTTCGGCGGCAGAAACGGTGTTTTGGAAGGTAAAGTTTTTGAATACAAACTCTGTATCATTTGTGAAACCTGTCCAGTTTGTTTTGGAAAAATTTGAGAAAATAATTTTTGGGTTCTCGGTGTCCGTAATCTGTAAATTTAGGGAAATATGTTTTGGAAGGTGATTGGAGAAAAGGGCTGGGACTGTTGATCAATCTAGGTGGTTGGTAAGGCAGTCCGAGGCGATAGAAAGGTCAGGAGAGGGGGGTTGGTTATTTGAAGGTATATGGGTGGGGGAGTCAAGTTGAGGATACAGCAGTTGGATTCATCAATTTCGGCCGCCAGCGTCTTTTCTCCTGGGTCGCAAATGCTTGAAGGCCATAGCTCATCGTGTGCATTCAGGTCGCCCAGAAGAATCAGGTTGGGCATATCAAGATAGTCTGCGATCGAAGCACAGAAATGTGATGGACAGGCTGAGTGTGGAATATGTAGATGTTGAGTATGTTTATCTCTGTATTCTTGTCCATCCTGATGATGATCCCTTGGCTCTCTACGATGTCAATTTTTGGGAGCTGCATTACGACAAAAGGAATGCCGTGGTGCATCAACATCAGGAGGCCGCCGCCCTTACGGTACTTCCGGGAAGGAGCATAATCTTTGAATATCTGGGCCCCAGAACGTGAGGAGAGCTTTGTTTCCTGAATTGCGGCAACAGAGATATTATGTGTATGAAGATGGTGTTCTATCTCAGTACTATTCATGGCACAGTTTACTACAGACACCACAGAAAGCATAACAAACATAACAGTATTTACACGACAAAAAACAGAATTCCTGTTAAATGGAATTTAGTCTTTTCAAACCAAGACTGAAGGCTTCCATCATAATGTCAACTGCGAGTCCTGATCTGCCATATTTATTCCAAAGAGCCTGACGCTTTGAAAATGATACCAACTTTCCTATATATTAGATTTGTTTAGTAGTGTCAGCATCATGTGTTGATATTAGGTTAAAATTTTTATTGGCATATCAACGATGTGCCAATAAAAATTGAATAAGTTGGAACTGCACATAATCAACTGAATTACTGAGTGCATTGTCAACATCAAACGAATTTCTTATTCTTCATCATCATCATCATTATTGTTCTTGTATGTGACGATCTGATTTTGTTGTTATGATCAGCCAAAACGGAAAAGGTTTTTACAAAGTTTGAGCCATTATCTGTGGTTGTACAAACACTTTTGCTGCGAATGCCATATTTTGCATGGACGTTTCCAGAAAAAGATTCAATAACATCAGATGTATGTGATCCAATTATTCGTAAAACGTTGTAAAAAAATCAGTTAGTAATGAATTTTTTTACCTCTTGTTCATGATGGCTATTCCTGAAAAAATCCAGTAATCTCGTTAATTTTAAAGTCAATCCATTCATAGAATACAGTCTTTTTCATCTTTAGAATTATATACAGAAGCGATTTCATACCAAAACAATATTTACATAACAAATGCAATAAGGAATTGATCTGGCTTTTTATAAATTTCGTATTAACAGTTTTTGTAATTTTTTGCAATAATTTATGAAAATTTGCTTTAGGAACTTAACTTTAAGGGTAATTCGAGAAAAATATCAACAGAAGAAAAACATTAAAGAGTTATCTGATGATCAAAAAACAAAATTAAAAAGAATTGTTGAGGCCGTTTTTGCTAATAAGGTTTATTTGTTGTTTTTTTGCATCTATATTTTTATGCTTTTTTTGTACAACTGCTAAATTTATTTATAATTTTATCAATCAAAATTTTGGTACTTTTTTTATGATGATGATCTGGATTTGAATATTAACAATTAAGATGATAAACTGATGCTATGAAAGAGTTGGCTGAAGAGACAAGACAGGAGACTGATGCTAATTTAGCAAAAACAGATTGACACAGAAAAGCTAGATAGTGGGGAGAGTTAAAAAAAGAAAGCAAAAAGTAACATTATTTGTACGGGATGTAACCAATAAACCCATAAAAATTGTATATTAATGTATAGAAAAGTTTTATTTGGTTCCATGGTTTATTCAACCTGTAGACGAACAAGTGTTTCACTCTCTAGGACATAAGCGCAGAACAGAAAATTTGTTATCAATATAATGAAATTACAGAACGGATGCTTTCTGCTTGATGCACAATAAAGGTAAGAGATTAGTTTTTTTACCGTTTGTATTCAACAAGGAGTTGATTAAGGAGAGATTGTACAAGTACAAAACATGACAAACACAGATGTTGAAAAGACTTGAACATGAAATTATTTGGAAGTGAGGCACTGAAAACTAAAGTGATATCAGCATAAACTATAAAATGGATTGGATGTCTTTATTTAGAGCTTTGAAAATATTGGGAAGTTAAAAATACAGAGATAGGAGTTTACGGGGGTGAACGTGGTAAATTGGGATTACAATGAACTGGACTTGTTGGCCACAATAATATAAGATTCAAAAGAATATCAATAGAGAGGCACACCAGAAGCAGCAGAGTCACAATAAAAGCTTTTAATCTGACTCTGGGTAGGTAGTGAACAAGATTTTTACAATCAATAATGATATTGGCATGATTTATAACGATACTTCATGTTCTTTACTTGATTTTTTTCAGAATTTTTATTCAGTTATGATTCAGATGTTGGAAACAAGCATTTAAAAAAAATGATGAATGAATTGTTATTGTTTATTTGTTGGTAAGTTGATGCTGGATTGTACTGGAACAGCTGATGCCGCCGTTCGTGGACGAATACATGTGGCGTGGAGCAGATGGCACCTCCTTGCCTCGGCACTGATGCGGCGTAGCATTTTTCTACCGCTGCGCTCAGAGCTATACAACACAGCTATACGTTCTGTTTTGGTGTATGGTGCAGAGACTTGGCCAATGACAACAAAATTCGAACAGCAGCTTCACCGAACTGACATGATGAGGATTCGTTGGATGCAGCATATTGACCTAAGGGACCATATCCATACGACCAAGATCCTGAGTCGATCGGGACTGTGCACGATGAAGGATGCATGTCGTCGTCATCGTCTATGATAGTTTGACCATGTGAAGCGAAAACGATACAATTATTTCCGTTACTGAGCACCAGGTGCTTGGCACCCGCCCAAGAGGTCGCCCAAAGAAGTTCTGGACGCAGACCATACAGGACTTAAAGGCACTTGGTCTCGAGGAGACAGACGCAATGGATAGATTGGCTTGTAGACAGAAGCTGATGAATGGAATAAAAAAAGTCCGACCCATAACGGATGGAGACTATAAACGAGGATTGATTGATTGATTGTTTCTAAGAAATTTTTTGCCGAGAAACACTTTTAGTTAGGATTCGTTAACGAATAAGATAACACTAAAATTTATTTTATTTACACCATGGCTTTATTTGTTGACAATAGTAATAAAATATTTGAGTTTAACTTACTTTGTGGGAGCTTGTTTTATTGAGCTTCCACATAACAAATTTTTCTTAATTTTTTTAGTTTTTAAGGTAAGGCCTAAATTATAATTGTCTTTATTTTTTAAACGCTGCTTTTATTCCAACATATCTTTTTTCTTTTATGTCACCATTGTTAGTATAATTATATACAATCGATTAATAACCGTTAGTATTTTTCAAATATTTTTGTAACATTATATTTGTCAAGTGGCGTGATATTAGACAAAATATTTACTTGTTGTTTTTAGCTGGCTATTGAAACAGTGGAAACTGGATTGGAAGAACCTGACATTGACGTTGAAAAAATTAAATTAAATACCGGAAAACATGATATAAAAAAACGCAAAATATCAGATGATAATGACACTGATGATGATGATTCGCCTGTTGGGGTTCATTGCAACCCTCTGCCTCTGCAGGCTAAAAAGAAGGCAAAAATTTCTCAAAGTAACTATAAAAACTCATTTATAAGTATAAAAATTAATGGCTATTTTTTTTAATGTATGAAGTTTCAAGTGATGAGTCAATTGATTCAGATGTCAATCTTGATGAATCAGGTATGTATTTTTGTATCCTTTAGTACAACAATAAACATAGACACATTTTTGCCAATATTGATTTTTCAGATTTAAAAGAACATCGAGAGGAGCATTCTCAAATTGTTTGTATTTCATTTTTGTGCAGCATAAAAATAAAATTATTTTTTAAATGGTAATTGATGATTTTCGGATTGGAAATGATATAAGATGATAACAAGACGGTAAGCATAAAAAAATTAATCTTTCAAAGCAAGTCCAAAAACTCTGGTTATCTTTTGTTTGTCTAATAATATATTGACATCTTGTACGTTACATACTTGATCACATCCAGGAGTACAAATTTGTTGTTTACACTAGAACTCAGTGTTTTTTTTTCCAAAACTTTTTTTATATCAACTCAGGACTAGTTTATCTTGTTCTTATATTTTCTTCACTTCCAGCCTGGTCAAAGTCAACTTTATTATGGATTTTTTACTTTTAATCTATGATTTTTCACATGCTTACGATCAATCACGTGATTTTTTTCAACATGATTAAATCATTATGCCCTAAAAATTTTATTCCAAGCTTGTTGACAAAAATCAAATCACTACGGTTTCTTCTGTACAACAGCGTGGGAAGCTTCAAATACTTTAACCTTTCTTCATATTTTAATGAGGAACAACTTCTGACCAATTTGATAGCCCTTTTCTGTAGTCTTTCAATGTCATTCAAGACCTTCATTCTCCAAAGCCACCATACACCGACAGCGTACTCTAAGTGGGAACGAACTAGTGTTGTATATAACTGTAAAAAAAACAAATTTAGTTATATTATGGAAATTTCTATAAATTATACCCAAAAAATAATTGCTTTATTAATAGCAGGAAAGATATAACTTGTAAAATTACTTACGCTTAAATAAATTAATTTTTTCACATTCAAGCTCATTGGACACACCATTCATACAACATATCAAAACTCCTCTGCAAAACATGGCAATCTTCAATACATTTTACAATTTTGAACAGTTTAGCATCGTCAGCATACAGATATAATTGAACACCATCCATTCCAGAACACACATCGAACATATCATTGAAATCAAAGCTATCTGACAGGCAACCACCAATTCTTACTGAAAACGTCCTTTTGCTTAAATAGTCGCTGATCCATTTAACCAGCTTATTGTTGATACCGTTTCTTGACCAGCATTTTATGTGGTACTTTATCGAATGTCTTCTAAAAATCTGTATAAATGAAATATAATCTGTTTGTCTAAGATATAAGTTTCAAACAGCCTTTGCAAACGTTTCCAATGCAGTTTTTTCTCTGTTTTGTGGGTCGTACGTAGGGTATGACAGCAAAATCAACCGTTCAATATCCTGTGTTCGCTGCTTTATTGACTCCAGGTCGCTGCTTCCGGTCTCGTAACTGAGTGTAAATTCAACGCATTAATCAGGACTTTATAATTGAAATGGTTCTAGACTGGAATCGTTAGAAGAACTTCTGCCGCTGACCCTCGTAACGCTTACACAAGAAGTTTATCCGTCGAATGTTGGTGCCTTCAATATTTTTGTGGTCACGTGGCTTGCAGGTGTGGAGTTTATTTCCTCAGTTTCTTCCAGTTCTTGTTTAAGTTTATCTATTTTGCGAAATAACCCGACAATCTTTCGATCAAGTTTCTGTTTAATTTTTGACGTGATGTTTTCCATTCTTGTCATCTGGTTTTCTATTTTTGCGTTAATTACGGCCGATTGCTGTTCAGTTTTGACATGAAATTGTTTTCTGAGTTTTCTTAATTGTTGTCTGTTGCCTTTCTGCAGCTTGTTGTTCAATTTTTGCAACAATTAGATTTCTCGTTTGTTCAGTTTTTGTTGATTGTTGTTCAATTTTTGCATCAATTTGATCTCTCGTTGTCGTTGTTGGTGCCCTTCCTAAACGCCCAGGCGAGGCCTAAGTCCGTTTGTTACTTCCGCCGGGTTCCTCCACAGATCTATTATTTTTAAATGTGTGCGATTCTTGAGGCAGCTGAACAGATGGGGGACATAGTCTGGTTGTTGGGGGCTGTTTTATGATGATGTGGCACGGATGGCTAGGGTTATGGCATTGTAGAAGGAATTTGGAGGAGATAAGATCAGAATGTTGCTTCACGGTTAGCATCTGACATTCTGAGTGCAAGTGCTGTTTCGACGTGATTTCATGGCAGCCTGTGATCAGGCGAAGGGCAGCATTCTGAGAGCGTTGGAGGCAGTTGAAACCGGTTTCGGACGTCATTGGGGACCAGGAAGGACATGCATACTCGATTGTGGAGCGACCAATGGTTTTGTAGATCTGTAATAGAGTTTCCTTGTCCTGACCAAATGAGGTGCCGCTGAGTGTTTTTAAAATATTGTTTCCTCTAGAGGCTTTGAACTCTGTCAATTTATGATGTTTTGAGAAAGACAGCATTGTGTCGAGTGTCAGGCCCAGTATTTTCGGATTATGTTCAAGGGGAAGAATTTGGTTATTGATTTTGATTCGTGGGTGGCACTGGAGTTGGGATGTGTGCGATGTAAAGAGTGTGACTGTTGACTTAGAGGTGGAGATCTCTAAGTTTTTTTTATTGAAGAAATCGCATAGATTTGGCAGGTAACAAGTGAGCCGGTGGGTCAAAGTATCCGCATCGGAACTTGTGGTGTAGATGGTAAAATCGTCTGTGTACGAGATAATTTTAATGTCATGAGGAAGTTCGGGAGTTTTGGAAACGTAAAAGTTGAACAGAGTTGGAGATGGTACTGAACCTTGAGGCACTCCTGATAGGATAATACGTTGTTTGAAGTGCTGATATCGGAACTCTGTTATGGCGGTGCGTCCATGTAGATAGTTTGACAGCCATCGGGGGGGGGGGGGGTTGACCGTGAAAGCGATAATGATAGAAAGTTGGACAACAGTGTTTGATGATTGGCCGTGTCAAATGCCTTTGTGAGGTCCGGCTCTGTGAGGACTGTTCGATGAGCTGGTCTCTTTTGGTTAAGGTCGTTGGCAATGTCGGTGACAATCAGGGTGAGTGTTGAGGTTGTTGAGTGATAAGTGCGAAAACCATGTTGGTGGCTCGCCAGTGTTAGGTATTTGGCTATGAGAGGCAGCAGGCATTTTTCAAGTACCTTTACGGCCGGGCATAGTAGTGATATAGGACGGTATGATTTTGCTTCACTGTCTGGTTTGCCGGGTTTGAGGAGAGAGATTATTTTGGCTATTTTATATATGTCTGGAATTCTGCAAGTTCGCAGAGATTCATTAAATAGTTTGGTTGGGAAGGAAATTTCTGTATGGCCTAAATGTTTAAGGTGAATGATTGCCAGGTTGTCTGGTCTTGAAGCTTTTGACGGTTTAGAGTGCTTTATTGCTGCTGAAACCTGATCTAGTATGAGGGTCAGATGATCATCATGTGTTAATTTCTTGATTGTTCTGTTAGTGATTCGATTCGATTTGTTTGATGTGTGATGATTAGTTGCGGTAAACTGTTTGTTGAATAAGTTGGCCAACTTCAGGTTGTTTATTGTTGTCGAAACTGATGGCATTGTTGGGATATTGTATTTGTTGGCCATTTAGAGTTTTTATGGTTCTCAAAAGGCGATTAGCGTTAATATTTCTATTGAAACTGCCCAGGAAATCCTTCCAGCGAGTTTGTTTTAGTTTGTTAATCTGTTGTTGGATGTCTGATGACATGATATCTTTGGATGTGGGGTCGGATGATCTGAGAGCATCCCGTTGTTTCATGAGCTTCCTGATTTCTCTCGGAAAACCTGGTGATGATGATATTTGTCTTCCTGAGGGGATATTGTGTCTACTAGTAGCCCACAAAACTTGACGGAATAATTTCTCTGCTGCTGACGGGTTGGGTGGGAAAACGGTTTTGGAGAACGTGGCTTCGGTTTCAGTGGTGAAACCGATACAGTTAGCTTAGGCAAAATTTATTATTTTTATTTTAGGAGTTTTGCAGGAGAGAATTTTGTTTGTAATGTGATGTGGATCGGTAGGTAATCTGATGAGAGACCTAGATTTGATCTCTCGTCTGTTCAATTTTTGTTGATATCGTTCGAAATAGTGCCATCAGTTCGGTGTTTGCTCCAGCGTTTACAACTGCATTCGATTCGACGTCCTGATCGTCGTCAAACTCGAATTCGTCTAGATTTTCATTTTCATTAACAATTGCTTCTGTCAGGTGTGCTATCAAAGCTTAAGCTTCTCTGTTTCCACTTGTAGCAAGATTTCATTTTTGTAACTCTTTTTTGAGTTGCACCAGTTTAAGTTGATGTAGTTCCGTCATGTTGTTTTACAAAATATTTTGTCGACAAAAAAATCAAAATGTTTCGACAACGATTCTCACTTATTTTCCACCGAAGATCCCACTTCTGACACCAATGTTATAACCGTCCCAGTTGACAACGAGTTCATTTTATCCCAGTAAAAAATAACGACACAAAATAACTCAAACTATCGGTTTATTTACAAATTGAGAATCAATGTTAATTAATTAATTTACTAACGTTTATCGCAAGTTCATAAAAATACAACGCAGAGTCAAATATCGCTTTCGACACTAACATTCAATCGCTTTCCAATATCAAATATTCAACAACCCCTATTCAATATCTCGCATGTTTTTATATAGCCGTCCTACCGACGCTTCTCGAACGTCCTAGATATCTCGCTGTCAGAAGGTTCTAGTTCCTTCTCGAACTGTATGCGTTCGTAGCGACTCTAGCGCCTTTACCGAATATATTTTTGATTATTATAACAATATGATGCCAAAACTTATTTGAATTTTTTTGCAATTTTTGCATTAAATTCAGTTGTTAATTAGTTTTAAATATTCTAATTTTATTTTTAATTAATTTTCTAGTAATCAGAAACTATTCATAAATTGCTTGATTTTTTACATGATATCCTCTTTAATTTTATTGAGTTTACTAAGGATACTAGAAGGACCATCTTAAAGCATTTATTATTGAGCCTATTATTGCTTTTGACGAAAGGGATATAAGTGTTAGTTGCTTCCTTCAAAACTTGAGTGAAATGGTGCCAAAGTGCGTTAACATGCAATTTATGATCTACACCATTTATATCAGTGCCTAACAAAGTGGTATTATAAAGTATATTTTGAATGAATTCGTTAATCATAACAAAATCTTTATTAAAATCAAATTTGGGTAGATCAAATGTGGAATAAATTTAGAATGCTCGAAATGAAATGAAAAACAAAGGACATAATGATCACTTTTGCCCAGCGGAGCCAAAAAATGCAAGTCATCAACCAACTCACGATCCTCTACAAATATTAAATTTAAAATATTATTAGTTTAGTTTGTTCTTTATCTAGCTGGCTTATCCACCATTTGTTGCAAAAAATTCTTAGTTAAATTAATACATTCGCTGTCAGTAGACTTTATCTCCGCATCAAATGAAATTGAGTTTCAATGTATCCTTATTGCTTATCTTATTCTTTAAGAATTTATTCTATTAAGAATTTCATATCTTTCTTGCATATAGTTATTGTGCTGAAAGAAACTGCTTCTTATCCAAATATAATAAGGTGGCTTTTAACGTATGCCTTATGGCTTTCCTTGTACAACAAGCCAGAGTTAAAATTGTCGAGAGTTTCTAAACTCGAAATTTTTTATTATCTGGATAATTTTAATATGGCCCAACACTAATAAATAGTTTATATTGTAATTAAAGTTCAACATTTTCACTGGTAAAATGGTTTTAACTGAGTTTAAAGCCTAGGCTATCGCTATTTTCAATTCTAAAACTAGATGACTATTATTTCTCGGTGTTAAAACTTATTCTATAAATACTTGTGTTGATATGAAAGTTTAAGAGGCATTTCTGAGTTTTGCTATTTATAAGAGCAAAATTTGTTTAGGTATCAATGAATTTAAAAATGGTTTAAATGATCTTGGAAGTCTGCTTAGCATCTGCGGTGGGATTTTGTTTTGGAAATCATCTAGTAATATGCTCTAGAAATTTAATGGAAAATATAACCACATTTTCGTTTAGAAAAATAATTGAAATGAAATTAAAATAGAGTTTTGATCTATTTATATTGTAAAAGATGCCATTTGACACTATATGTTGCGCTTTATTATATAAAATTTAAAATTATTTATTTAAAGAAGAAGATGAACTCCAACAAAAGAAGCATCATTTCTGATAAAGATTCTGATTCGGAAAGCTTAAATAGCCTTAATAAGGAGGATCGGGAAGAATCAATCAGCAATGGAAACAATGAAACCGAGGGTCAACAAACACTTGAAAAGAATAAAAACTTCAAAAGTGTTGTTAGTTTCTATGAATGTGAAAATAAGATATGAAACCTTTATTTTCATGAATGTAAATTTTTAAGGGTTTTCATGTAGTTGTTTTTTTTGTTAGTATGTTTATATTTGACACATTTGCTCTCTAAAAATAGGAAGCTGAAATATGATTGGAATTATTATTGTCAACAAATTCTTCATGTGAAGTGAAGCCTGACGTTTGATGCAGAATAGCAATTTCTTTTGTGTCAAAATCGTCTCTTTATATTTTCATTTTGCATTTTCTCAAACAACTTTTTGGTAATCATGATAAATAATACTGGTTAACGTATTTTTACAAACTTGATTTAAAAAAAAAAAACATCAAAATCATAGACCAAAATCATAGACCAAAATAAGTCAAACTAATTTTTTGAAATTGCGTACTCAGATTTTAGTTTGTGGCTATATTAATATCATTTTAATAATACTGACAAAGATCAAATCTTTAGCTATAGAAGCATTGGTTTGAAAAATTGATTCCCTATTTTTGAAATCTATTTTTTTCTTCAAATGGATGGATCAGTCAGAAACAAAATTCTTAAAAATTAATTTGATGTTTAATTGAAATTTATTCAGTTTAATTTTTAATATTGAAAATTATTTAAATTAAGTCAAATTATTAACTCATGCATGCTGAATAAAGGTACTGAAACAAAATTTATTGTTGATTTATAGCTGAGACTCATTTAAATTGTTCTGCATTTCTAAAAACTGATTGCAGTGCATTTTTAAGTGAAAAAGATGCTGTTGCTCTTACATCTAGAATCTAAGTAAACCACAACACCGAAACTAGTAAGCAGTTACTACTTGCCTTCAGTTTACTGATAATTGCAAAGCTAAAGATATGCCAAAAAAAGATACTTCAAAAACAAGAGATAATTTTGTTTTTATTGATTTATTCGTAATAGATTTAGTTTTACAATTTAGACTGCTAGAATGGTTTTAATAAAAACAGGACCGCGATGTTTCAGACAGTGATGACGACTGTGAGATCAAAGATCAACGACTAAACAAAAAGAAGAAAAGCTACAAATCAAAAAAGAGTAGTGTTAGTTTATTTTCTAATTATGAAAATTATCAACGTTCACTTTTTAATGTAACAGTTTAGCTCTTGCAATTTTTACTGGAATCACGTTTATTTTTTAATTTACTGTTTTAAAATCTAAAAATAAATTGAAATTGGTTATTTAAATTTTTAAAAGTTGATTTCACAACTGGCTTTACCAAAGTTGCGAGAAATATTTAAAAGTAATGGTGAAATGAATATAAAAAAAACAATTTCTTATATAAACATCCACTCAGGTAAATAAAAAGCAAGAGTGTGAAGATTCCAGCAGCGATGGGAGTAGTGAAATTGAAAATAAACGAAAAGTCGGGAAATGTAAAGAAAAAAAAAGAGTCAAGAGTGGTGTAAGTTTTTATATTAATACATACGAAAATATCTACGTTTTGGCAAGTCGTTGTTGGCATTACTATTATATTAAATATGGTTACAACTCTGATCTCGTTCCTACCGATGGTCGAACAAATTGAATATTTCATTTTATTTAATCCGAAAATTAGTGCCCATTTGTTTTATAATTTAATCATGTAAAAGTAAGTTATTATGCTTTTCGGTAATGTGGATTGAGTAGGGTTTGGGATCAAAATTAAAATCTTTATTTAAAATTTTTGTAATTTAGAAAGTTGTAATTGGCGAAATGTTTTTACTAATGCTTCACAATATATATATATATATATATATATATATATTTTACAATATTCTATAAATTCTACCGAATGTTTGGCGTTAATATGTTTGTAGTTCGTTTTTTCGATTTTTCTCACTAAAGTTTTTTGGTGAACGTTTAGTTTATTAAAATTCAAAATAAATTTATTTATAAAATGTTTGTAGATAAATTGTCCATAGAAACAGCTAGCAAAGTGAAATATCTCTTCAGCTTGGTTTTAACAATCTCAAAATGATGGCGTAAAACAACAGGGTTAAGACCAGCAACCGCTTTCAATCCTACAACATCTTTATATTTGCAACACAGCAATTGAATCATAAAACACAAAACAGTTCTAGCAACTTCTCCATTTTTTGTCAAACCAAAGACAGACCCGTTAAAATACTCCAGTGGCTTTGCAGTGTGAATTTCATCACATATCAACATGACAATTTTTTCTGACTCAGAGAGTGCTTTCAACCTTGCAGGTTGGTTAAGATCTTCAACATTTTCAGCAAAAACAGAAGACAATTGCTGAATTCTACGAACACTAGGAAGAATAAACAATTCTTTTAGAGTTTCATAGAGCTTAGGTAGCTTGCTAGGAACAGCAAAAGGTTTCAAACGATTTAAGTTTAGCTTAACAGGATTGCTTTTACGAAGAGTTTCATTCGTATCCACTCTATCTAACTGTATGTCTTCATCTTGAAAATGTAACTCACACAGTCCATGATTTTTGGTGGGACGGAAATCCTTCAGCGATAAAAAATGTATCCATTTGTCCAATAAAATCTGATCACTCAATGGCAATCTAAAGAGTCTTAATTTTCCGACACTTGTATTGGATTTATTTATAACCAGTTTTACAACCCGGAGCGCAACACTTATTAACCATTTTAAAGAATAATCCGTAATTATAGTAAAAAGTTAGAACTACTAAATTTTACAATAAATTTTACAAAAAAATACAATGATTTAAATTTCGTATTTACGAACGAGACACTAAATAAACACGAGATACGAACGAGATAATAACTAAACTGTAGCACGAGGTGTGTTGAAATGAAAAGAAAATTATTAAAAGAGAATCTATGTTTTAATCATTCATTAAAACAATAGTCATATCAAATATCAAAACTATATAAAAAATCTAAAACAAAGGAGTTATTAACTTAATAATAATCTGCACAATTAAAATTACGTACTAATTCAATTAATTTTGTCATAAAAGTATGTGATATAATGAAGATTTTACCATAGGCCTCCGATTGTAAAGGAAAGAAAAAAACTTCTTTCGCTTGCGTTTCCCTGTCACTACGTTCCCTAATATATATATTTACAATATTCTATAAAAATCGAAAAAACGAACTACAAACATTAACGCCAAACATTCGGTAGAATTTATAGAATATTGTAAAAATTATGGTCTATTACCAACATAATATATATATATATATGCAAGATTAATCGCGGAAGTCTCCCTGCGTCAGTTTTAATCATTGCTTCTCTTGCTTTCTGTGAGCGTATAATGGAGAGATACGATAGGGTCTTCCAGTTAAAAATTCCATGGTTGTATTATATTTCTTTTAAAAATGTATACATACATATATATTGCAATAGGCAGCCGACAACAGTTATATACCAAATGCTGTCGGCTGTCTATGGGGACGTCTCGCTGCAAAATGTGCATTGCATCAATTAAAAACAAGGTCTAGCCAATTCTTCTGCCACAGCAAGCTGAAGGGGGGGTTAGCGGGGGAGCTGAAGGGGCAATCCATTCTGTACAAAGGTTTACGGACCATATGAAGGATGACGAATGTTTATTGAAATTGACTTATTAAAATTGCCCTAACTTCTCTTGCAGATGTTGAAGTACATGGCACATGTCCCAAAGGCCGTCCAAAGAAGTCCTAGTCGCAAACAATCGAGCAAGACATAAATGCTCTAAATTTAAATGAAATGGATACAATTGTTGTAGTAGTAGTAGTAATGCTGTTCTGGAAATTTATCCAAAGAGCATGCTGTTAGGCATGCTAGCACAGCCGATTCGTTGATTGATTGTTGTTCATCCAACAATCAGTACCTGCTTTAAAACTATTTAATGTTTGCGCATCGACGAGTCATTTGGCAATAAATTCTAGATATTTGCTGTTCTATTGAATAGGTAATTCTCTCTGCTTCTATGTTTTGTTATTTCTTTGTAATATTTCATACTGTGACTTGGCGTTCTAGTTACAACATTATTAAATTGATTTATTAAATTAATTCTGTCCATTTTGTGCTTGCTTTTGAATATCTGAATTAAATCTCCTCTTTTTCTTTCTACCAATGTTGTTAGATCCAATTTTCTGAGACGATCGATGTAATCAAAATTTCTTATAGAAGGAACTAATTTTATTGCTCTGTGCTGGACTCTTTCAATCACTTCAATATCACCCTTCAAATCTGGGGACCAAACTGACACCGCAAACTCCAAAAGTGGTCGAATAAAAGTTATGTATAAATTGCGGAGCAATTTATTATCAAATCTTCCAAAAGATTTCCTCACTCGACCAAGCATCCGATTTGCTTTGTTAGATACCGCTATGACTTGATTCTTCCATTTAAGATTAGTTGAAAAAATCACTCCAAGGTCTCTCTCAGATTCAGACTCAACAAGGCGTTTTCCATTAACATACAGAGAATATTTGTTATTACCTGATCCGTAATGCATTACAACAGAAAATGGGCGATAATTTGTTGGTACCGTTTTGTCGCCTTTTTTATAGATCGATGTAACGTTTGCTGATCTGAATTGAAGTGGAAGCTGACTGGTAGCCAATGAAGCTTGGAATATCAAAGCAATAGGTACAGCAAAGGCTTCTGCACAATTTTATAACAAGGCTGGATGGAATTTGTCAACACTACAAGTTTTGTTTGGATCAAGCTTTTTGATTTTATCCAAAACCATGTCATAATTGAAGTCATCTAGCATCATATCTATAAACTGTTCACACTTGTATTAACCTCAAAAATTGGAATGTCAGAATCATCTTGATCGTCTAATTTGGCGCAAAAAGTTGATGGCAAAGAAAACAACGTCCTATCTCAGGAAACTGGGTCTCTGGACGCTAAACGAAGATTTATATATATATATATATATATATTCTTAGAAATAAATAAATTAATTATTAATTAATTTTTTTTAATAAAAAATTTTTTAAAAATTTTAATTAATTATTAACTAATTATTCTTGGAAAGAAATAAATTAGAATATATATATATATATATATATATATATATATATTCGTCACAATATGATATTGTGAAGAAATTGATGACCATTAAGTTTTGAATATGGTGGGGCCAGGTTGGCTGTTGGGTTAATGTTATCAATCTGTAATAATAAACTAAAATATAATCAAATTTTTAATTGATTCTCGAAAATCAAGTTAACTTTTTAGCATAATTATTTTTCAAATTGTTGTGGACTTGTTTTAATTTTTCATATAGATTACTCAGCAAATTTAGTGATTTTAATAACTCATTAATATTTAATTTGATTTTAAGCATTTAATTGTATCATTATCAAATATAAAAAATTTTTAACAGAAAAAAGTGAAATCCAAAAGAAAAAATGAAATTTCTGATGAAAATGTCGATTCAGTTGTCATAAGTAGCCCAAATAAAAAAGATGTTTGTGGAGAATCAAACAGTGACGGCGGTAGTGACGTTGAAAGTCAACAAACAATAAAAAAAAATAAAGAAAACAGGTCGACCAAGAATAATGTTAGTTAGTTTATTTTGATGTTTGGGTCAATTTTATAGTCCAAAATAAATGAAACTATATAATATTACAACTAGTTACTACGTTTTAAATATTTGTTTCAACCAACAGTCCAAATGTGATGAAAAGTCTAAGCAGCTGAAATATTATGAGAAGATTGCTAGACATTGTCGATTATTACCTGTTGGTGCACGATACAAAGCTACTTTTGAGTTCTGCTCCAATGAAAAAGATAAAATTGAAAAAATTAAAACTATACTTAAAAATGCTGGAATGACAGGTTTGCTTTTAACAAAACAAATATAATTATTAAAATGATAATTATCAGTATGTTTATCATTATCGTTCAATATCACATTCAGTCTAAAGATATACACTATTGTATGGATGCTCTATTGATAAGCCAACTCCAGTAGTAAAATTTCAATGGACTTAACTATTTTGTCTTTTGTTCTATTTAGTACTCTCCTAACGCCTATTGTGGTGCACCTAAGTTAAATATCGTTCTTAACTATTTTTTGATCATTCAGTCTTTAATTTCATCACAGATTTAACTTATTCGTTATTGTGTGTTCTTATGGTTTCGTTTTTCATCTTTTAACAATTTTTTTAGCTCTCTATTTCATACATTCGAAATCATTGTAGTGTAGTACTACAATTCTGTCTTTAATAATCACTCATAATGTGTTAACTCATTTATATTAATAGAAATAAAGTTTTTTCGAAAAAATATTTAAATATTAAAAAAGAATGGATACGTTATTATTTTAGGTCGAATAAGTATGGAAGAAGCAGAAAAGTTGAAACTGAGACAGGAGGCAGCTGAACTCAACACCGACAACATAATTAGTTTGAGTGGTAATCTTTCATTTTAATTCATTTTTTCTAAACTTGACTAATTTGAAAATAAAATCTGAATTCTGAATACCGCAAAACTATGTCATCATTATAATCTCATATGCCTTAGTGTGTTCTAAGAACGTGATACATACAACCGACTAGAAAACCCAATACTGTTGGATCAGCTGTTTATTAAAAAATGTTCTTATAAGAATTTTCAATGAAAATACGTCTTAATTATCTACCTACATTAATATTTGTAGAAAAATTTAGAGGTACATCAATTAGCATCTGCATTTCAAGTTGTTAATCATGTTAACAATAAGGATTTCGCAAACATGATTTCTTGTATTATTTATTTTGAGATAACTACAAAACATTTTTTATCAAAACTAAAAATAGAGCGAAATGTTTTTACTTGTGTTGTATAAAGTTTGAAAATAATTGGGCAGCAAGGCTCGTCAGTTTTTTTAATAAATAACGTAATGTAGGTGTGAAATTATTTTTCAAAAATTTGTTTAAATATTAGATTGGCTTTTTGGTTGTTTGTTTTATCCCTTTTTCAACGGCGTTTTAACACATTACTCGGCTATCTTTACGTCATTTTCATGATAGTTATTTTCAGTTGTTTTGGAATGTTTAGTATATCTTGATGTTGATTTTCTTTCTTTCATTTTTCAACAAATGCTGATTTCTGTCTATACTATAAAAGATTTTTTTCCAAACTAAATTTAGGTTTCTTTGGGGAAATATACTTTCTAATGAGGATGTACGTTTTACATCCTCTTAAAATATTCATTTATTTATTTCAAAAACAGACCAGGACTCCATTATGGGCTCGTATGGCCAAACAAAGTTCACAAATAAAAGACAATTACAAAAGTTACTAAAATAATGAAGAAGACAAGTAAATTCACGAAAACATAAAGAACTTTAAATTTATAAATGAATTCTTTGTCAATGAACCAAAAACTGCGCGAAATAATTAGCTGGCCAGCAACAACTCAGAAACTCTTTTCTTAAACATTCCCGGACTGATACTCGACGTCGAATCAAATGGCAGCCATTCCCACAACTTTACGCCAAAATTTAATACAAAATTAGAATGCAACACAGAACGGGATAAAATGGAAAAACACACCGACGTATGACGCAACCCACGAACAGCGGCCGAAGATGAAGTCACTGTAGAAGAGTGAAACTGAGGATACATATTTAAAAATTTGCTTATAAAAAATAATAAAGTTTTTAATATATGCAATTGGTTAATGGATAACAAGCCAGACTGTGAAAAATAAAACGAAATTTGGTCAATTTTTTTTAAATTATAAAAAACTCTAATGAAAAAAAAATTTGACAGCCAAATTTGTATTAACCAGAAGGATGCCTCTCACGCATGATGAGCTCAAATCAGTTCGCATATACGTACACCAGAAAAAAGATACTAAATACGCATAAATATTATGCAAATGCACGAAATAGCCAATTAAAAAATAATTAAAATTAATAACATTTTAAAAAATGAATAAATATTTATTAATGAACTATAAAGATGTAAAAATTGTAAAATTTGATGAGTTTAATGAATAATTTTTCATGGAAACTTAAGAGTGAAACCAGACTAAAAATGTGCGAGCGGGCGTTCGAGGGCCAGTATGGGTTTTATAAGTATGTGGTATTGACGTCTGACGACCCCAAATAATAATTACATATAAGAGATAACAGTATATGAGAAAATAGTAAAGATTAATAAAAATTTTTCTACCCAACATCATACATCACGACCAGATCGTCAGACCCTTCATTCATCAAATATCTACTTCACCAAAAAAATAAATTCATGAGATCAGGATACATCCTCAAAGCCGCAGCGATCACCAAATACATCAATAAACTAATCATCAACTTCAATTCAAAAACTTTCACTAATAGTAAGCGTGGAAGCAAAGCCATGTGGGAACAAGTCAACAATATTAGATGCTCTGACAAATCATTCAACATGTCAACCTCACAACAAGTTGATGCCAACACACTCAACACCCACTTTACATCCATGTCAACCGACCCGTCCTACAAAACTCCACCAACAAAAGCAACAGCAATCAATAGACGTCAACATCAACAATTTACCTCATACTCCGTCCTGCTCGCTCATGCTAACGAAGGTCCAGATTGTCTACCAGCATGGTTTCTACAAATCATCGCTCCATTTATCTCCAGCCTCTTAAGTTCACTCTACAATTACTGATTAATGCATTCATTCATCCCATCACAATGTAAATCCAGCACAATTCATCCAATTCCTAAAACAAAACACCCATCATCACCAATAGATTATTGCCCAATATCTATCAGCCCCATACTTTCACGTATTCTAGAAAAATTCATCGTTAGGTCATTCATCTATCCATGTTTCAACCATCCATCAAACCACTATTACAAGATCGGTATGCATTTTGCCCTACAGATTCATTTACATCCGCCATCATCTCTCTTCTACAATAACATCTTTCCTTAAAAATAATAATTATGTTCATCTTATTACTCTAGACTTTTCTAAAGCATTTGACACTCTCAATTACTTCTCACTTTCAAATAAGTTAGCCTCTCTTCCTCTACCTGACAACAATTACAATATTATAATAAATTTTCTTTCTAATAGGAGTCTTTCTACTTTCTTTTGCACTACTCTTTCATCTACTCTACCTATTAATTCTAGCGTAGTTCAAAGTTCTGTCCTTGGACCATCTACCTTTATCATTAATGCTTCTACTTTCAAAACTTTTCATAGCTCTAATCACATCATCTAGTACGCTGACGACACCTACCTTATCATCCCATCATCTAACTCAAACACATCCAATCAGAACTCGACTCATTAACTACATGGTCAAAACGGTGCAATCTGTCACTTAACCTCAATAAATCATTCGTCATCATATCCTACCTGCATCATATCCTACCGTCACTCAGATATTCAACACACTCGATTCAAGACTGTCCAAGAAAATAGAAAATAACAACACCCAATCATCCATCCTCTATTACCACCAATTAAAACTACAACACACAACCTTCGTCAGCGCAAACATAACTATCAAGTTGCCACCCAATCTACATATCAGGAAAAAACTTTCATCACAAGACACCTCAAACATATTAACATTCAATAAAACTTGTTCATTCACACAAATATTTTTTATTTAATAAAACTTTATCATTCACACAACTAGTTTTTATTTATCGATCACCTCGCTAAGTCGTCATCTAGTCTATTAATTTGCGTTTTTACGCCATTACTTCATTTTATTGTCAATTTATTTTATTATTATTATTTATTCTATTTTAATTTTATTTTTCATGTTTAAACATTTTTCTTTCTCAGTTTTTTTATTTATTTATTTACTTGTTTGTTTAATTTTGTACTACTGCCTTGCATGCTGTGACAGTTTCCGCGTCTGTCAGATTCTGATTTTTTAAGAATAATAATAAAACAAGAATATGTTTAGGTAATAACATCTTTAATTTATATATAACACCTATACTTTGGACATATTTTTGAAATATATGATATTCTTCCAGTTTAAATTGCTTGCAAACTTGAGAATTTTTTACTTCCCACTCTATTTATAGTAAAATTATTATAAATTATTGAAAAAAAATTTGGTACATCACGTGTTTAAAATACTGACTTGCTTATTATTTGGTTCGAAATTGCATTCTACTTAAATTTACTTTAATTTTACAGGTCGAAGCCATAGAAAAGCCAAAAGTGCATCAACCAACTCTTTTTTTGATTGTAAACTTTCAGCAAAATCCATATCCGAAGAACCACTCAAGAATCAATTAGGCAGTCTCAGAGACATTATTGAGTCAGATTCAGACGATTAAAAAAATTTAGTATTTCTAATATGAACGGGCACGCGTTATAGATGTGCACAATTATACGAGTGAAAACAATTGCTTTCTTGTATTGTGAATCGTTTTACTTTAGCTGAGAAATATAATTAAAAATGACTTGCTGTGTTTGTGCTTTGCTGTTTGTCTTTCTAGATCATACGTTAGTACTTTGTCTCGGTAAGAGTGTTATGAGTCTTCATGGAACACTCAAGAGTCTTCTAGAAATTTTTGAAATCTTTCATAAGTTTTAGAAATGTTCTGGAACTTGTAAAACATCCAGGAACCAATTTGAGTTTAAATTTAAGTATTAAATTTTTTTAAATTTCTAGTGCTAGAGTCGTTGTGCGATCGAATCGACGTTGAGGCATTCGCAATCTAGAATTTAGATATCTATCATAAAAGAAACTGTTCAAAATTGAATAGAAATAAATGAAACGCCAAAGTAAATTTTCTTTCGATGGTAAACCCTATTTATGAACAAGAAAAGCGATTACCAGTGTTGAAGAATGAAAGATAAGTTAGAAATAGCTTTTTTAACCTAACTGAAAATTTAACAGAACTTTTGCAACTTCGACTGTAACTTATTTGACGTTGGAGATAGCAATTTTAACGATAATGCAAATCCCTTTGAAAAAGTTTGTAACTGATTATAACAAACAATGTGAACTTTAGCTTGAACTTAAATTGACCCTTGTAACTTAACTTTAATGACAAGTGCAGTGGCGGATCCAGGTCATCTAGCAAAAGGGGGCGATTTTTAGGTATCATTGACAACCCACAACTGCGGGCAAGCCCACAAATCAAAAAAAGTTTACATTATTTTTCACTTTGAATATTAATCTATGTGAATTTTTTTTAATAGAGATCGCCCCCATTGCCCCTCGCTATAGATCCACCACTGGACGAGTGGTATAAAATTTAACAGTTGCGTTTATTATTATTGTTGATTCAATCCGAACGTATCCAAACGTTTCTACAACTTTGCCGTGAAGATTCCCTGAAAATTGTCGAGAAAATCATTGAAAGAAGATTAACGTCGTGCATCACAATCGGAAATTATCAATTTGGTTTTCTAGCAGGGAAAGCAACATTGATGCAATTCACATCCTTCGGCAACTGCAGGAAACGTACCTCGCAAAGCATCAACAACTATTACACATTTTTGTAGACCTTGAAAAAGCCTTTGATCGAGTTCCCCGTGAAGCAATCAGGTGGAGTCTACGTCGACGACTCATTCCAGAATATCTTGTTCGACTTGTGATGGAAATGTATACGAATACTAAGACTCTCGTTAGCACAACGGTTGGAAACACAGATGCATTTGACATCGGCGTTTGAGTTCACCAAGGCTCGATTTTCAGAAGATGCTTTTGCAAGAGAACTGAAGTTGATGTGAGATATGCATTGTGTTCGATTTCGTTAGGCAATTCCCAGGAAGAAATCAAAACTTGGTGTTGGATGTATGCAGGTTGCTCTGCCAAAAATATGAAACATTGAAGCAATCGTTTCATTGAGTAATTTCAGAGTTTAAAGTTATTTGTTCAATAAATCATTTAATCACAGTTAAAACCTCCGTGGAATGCCAATAGTGAATCAACATTCAATTCAATCAATCTTCTTTTAGCGTCCAGAGACCCAGTTTCCCGAGGTAGGACGTTTTTTTTCTTTGCTATCAACTTTTTGCGCCAAATTAGACGATCAGTTGTATTCATCTTATTTAAATTTAAAGCTTTCATATCTTGCTCGATTGTTTGCGACCAGGACTTCTTTGGACGGCCTTTGGGACGTGTGCCAGTTGCTTCAACATCTGCAAGAGAATATATGGCACTGTTTCCACTTCGTTTGACATGACCAAACCATTCGTCATCCGTCCTTTATATCATCTAAACCAGCATGACGCAGGATTTCGGTAGATTTTATGTGGTCCTTCAGACTAATTCGTATCATCCATCGGAGCATTTTCATGTCGGCTCGTTGAAGTTGTTCCAGTTTGGTTGTCATTGGCCATGTTTCTGCACCATATAACAAGACCGGACGTATCACAGATTTATAAAGTCTTGATCGTAGGCATTTGTTTGGACTTATGTAGCCTTCGGTGTTGTTGCTTGACAGCGAAAAAATCAATATTCGTGTATCAACTTTTGTATGTTATGAGATGTTCAAACCTCTTTCTAAAATATGTGTTCAGTAAACAAAATCCGTTACTTTTAGCAAACTCAAGGATGCGGTTGCCATCTTCGTTCCGTTCTCCATAGCCAAAACCGCCATGTACGTTGTCAAAACCATCTGTTTTCTCAACAACGTGGCCATTGAGATCGCCTCCAATCAAGATTGTTTCAGATTTTGGTATTGTTGAGATGGTGTCAGAGTACGCAGCCCAGAAGTCATTTTTCGTATCTTCTGATTCGCCTGTCTGTGGTGCGTATTCAGAAAAAATAATCATTGTCTGCTTTTCTAGGGGAAGCTTGATCCACATGAGACGTGAATTAATCCTTTTAATATCTAGTACTTCTTGGGTTAGCGGTTCTCTGACAAAATTCCAACAACATTTTTTGCCTTCTTTTGACCATTCCAAAATAGTTTTTTTTTGTCTGAGTTGACATAACAAACACCATTCGATTTCTATCGGGTTTCCTGAAAACAGCAGATGTCAATCCTTCTACGCTCGAGCATTTCTGCAATTTTCATGCTGCGGCCAGTCAATTATCCAACATTGAGCGTTCCAAGTCTAAGTACCATAGAGAAGCCATTCTGAATTTTTCTGCAGCATCTCTCCGCAATTGCATACTTCCTAGAGATTCTTGGCACCCCTTGACCACTTAAGGCTTGCTGGGGACTAGAGGCCGTTGTTTTTCTTTGTGATGGCATAGGAATAATTTGGGGAAAAGTTTTTACATCCGGACACCCATCCTGGCGACAACCACCAGTTATAAACGATGAGCCTAGCCTTTTGCTCAAAAGCACGCAAGGCAGCATGGATGCAGTTTTATGTCCTGCTCAGGACCAACCAATAGTACGGACAAACCTTTTCTAAAACCAAACTATATCAATTCCCTCTTGTCAGGGTTTAGTTTTACACACACCCACAGACACACACACACACACACACACACACATATATATATATATATATATATATATATATATATATATATATATATATTTACAGAACATTCTATAAATTTTATATATAACATATATATTTATATATTATTAGAGATATTGTCGCAGTTACCGATTTGATAAGGGCACCTTGACTTTGCACAGAAATAATGTGATCCCAACAGGCATCTAATCGGCTATTTTCGAAACTTTTCAGTGACTGAGATGCTGAGACTGATTCTAAAAGCAAGTTGTCCGCCTTTTTGTAATCTGTTGCCGTCTATCTCCAAAGACATCGAATTTCTGAATTTGCACTTGTTTTAAAATAGTTTCGGAGTTTGATTCTCATTTTCAGCGCAGAATCCTTGAATGAAACAATGTTTTGGCCTCCAACTTTTAATGGCAAACTCAACATCTCTAATACACAGCCGCTAATTGGAATTGTTAGCCAATTTCTAACTGCTTCAACCACTGGGTCTTCTACGAGCACACACACACACACAACAGTGTTTTTTTTTGTATCTTAACCAAAATTAGTTGTTTCTTATGTATTTCCACCTACTGAATCCGAAAATGACATTAAAAATTACATATTTTCTCTAGTTCAAGAGATAAAAGCAAAACTCTATCCTCAAGAGTATAAATTTTTTTTGGAAAATTTTTTTAATTTTTTTTTCATTTTGTCTCTTGGCTATCTATAATGTCTTATTTATGAAAGCACAAATGAAATAGAAGAAGGAAAAGAAAGCCAGCCTTCCATATCAAATGATTTTGATTTTGTGTCAACTGATGATGCACGACACAGATTGAGTCAAGCAGAATTAAGTGACCTCATTCGAGATCTTGACACAGAACTTGTAGGGTCTAGATTAAAATAAAGGAATCTTCTCCAATCTGATGTCAAAGTTTCCTATTTCAGGAAACGGCAATAAAATCTTCTTCGTTTTTGTTCAGAAGAAAAATAACCTTGTTGTTTGCGTTGATATCTGTGGATTAATGTAATGGCTCAATTCGAACTATGATCCAACTGAATGGAGATTATTCATAGATTCATCAAAGCTATGCTTGAACTGTATTACTGCACAATGGAAATCATTTTCCATCAGTTCCTATTGGCCATGCAGCTCACATGAAAGAAACTTACCTAAATATGAAAACTCTTCTTAACTCAATCAATTACAACAAACACATTGGAAAATTTATGGTGACCTAAAAGTATTCCTAAAAGTATTGCCATACTATTAAGAATGCAATTAGGCTATACCAAATACTACTGCTTCTCGTGTATATGGGACAGTAGAGACAAAATTTCACATTACACAAAAAAGGACTGGCTTGCAAGAAATTTCAACAAAGATGAAAAAAATGTTGTTGCTGAACCACTCGTAGATCTAAAAGATGTACTTCTTCCATCCTTACACATTAAGCTGGGTTTAATAAAAAATTTTGTATAAGGTATGGACAAAGAAGGATAGGCTTTTAAGTATTTAAAAAAATTTCCAAAACTAAGTGATGCAAAAGTTAAAGAGGGTATTTTTGTTGGACCATAGATACGTGAACTTGTGAAAGATCCTGCGTTTTAAAAAGTTTTGAAGGGGCAAGAAAAAGAAACTTGGGAATCTCTCAAGGAAGTGATTTGTGGATTTTTAGGCAACAGAAGAGATGATAACTACATCCAATTGGTAACAGTACTTCTGCAAAAATGCCATCAACTAAGATATAACATGTCCTGAAGATTCACTTCCTCCATTCACATTTAGACTTTTTTCCCCTTTGTGGAGTTGTTAGTGATGAACATGGAGAAAGGTCCCACCAAGGTATTTCTGTAATGGAAAAAAGATATCAGGGTCGTTGGAATGAAGCTATGCTTGCAGATTACTGTTGGTTTATACGTAGGGATGCTCCAGGGATATTGGAACATTGGGCTCAATAAAGATGGCGAGGGAAAGAAAAGGATTTTGGAGAGATAGAAGAATACCATCGGCCTCAACGGTCCCTTAAGGGATTACAGAGGATCATTGAATGAAATGAATGAATGAATGCTCCAGAGCTCGCATACAGGCGGAAAGCAAAAAGAGCACGATCGCGTGAAGATATTCTATAATTATCATTATATTTATTAGATTTCATTGTTTAAAACTGTTAGAATGTAATCTTTATTGAACAAACTAAATGCACTTTAAATATTATTAAAATAAGTAAATTATATGTCATATTGTTGTGAATAAACAAAACCAAAAAATTTTTGTTGTTGTATATCTCAGAAACTAGAACTAATAAAAAAATTTTCGTTTGCATTTTCGTTTTTCTCATCCTAAAATTAGTATAATTTGATTAAAAAAGTGAAGGATACAAAAAAAAATAATTTTTTTTTGTCGCCTAATGATGAATCGCTTGATTGATCGATTATCCTCGCTTACCAACTCAAAACATGATAAAGCCAGGATCATGGCAATTCGGATTGAGTTGGGCTCCAAATGGTTAAGAGCGGTCCCGAGGCTCCTTGGTTTGATTATGCTTGTGTAGTAGCCAAGAAAAGTGTTAGAAGACTGGAGAAAGCCTATAGGTTAAATCCATCTAACTCTCTTTCAATCAATTTTTCAATTCAATCAATCAATTAGCTTATAAAGCGCTATTTCCGCGATGTTCAACAGCGCTCCTCAATGAATTTTGAAAACAGATGGGTCTTGAGATCCGCTCTGAACTTCGCAAGCGATGGAGAAATAGTTAGAGAAGTAGGCAGAGAGTTCCAGAGAAAAGGACCAGAAAAAGCAAAAGCAGATTTGGCAAAAGAGTGTTTAACACGAGTTAAGAAAAAGCGAGAAGAAGAAGACGATCGTAAACCGGGGCGTTTAGGTTCAATTAATATATCTGATAAGTACTTAGGAAATAATTTAGATTGAGACTTATACATGAACGTGCAAATTTTAAAAATTATTCTATATTTTATAGGTAGCCAGTGCAAGAGAACAAGATATGGAGATATATGAGAAAAGAAAGGGGCACAAGCAACTAGACGAGCAGCAGAGTTAAAAGCTTTACTTAAAGGATAGAGTATAGAGTCAGGAAGACCATAGTAGAGCGAGTTACAATAATCAATCCTAGATAAGACTAACGAAGTAACAAGAAGGAGAAGAGTAGGATCATCAAGAAAAGGCAAAAGTTTTTTTATTCTACGTAGATGAAAGTAAGAGCTTCTAGCAACACTATA